TGTACTAGTGCTATTTCTATAAAAAAAATCTATTTATGTACTAGTGAAAAATTTATTAGTTCACTTTTAAAAATATAAGGAAGTGAAAGAAATATTTTCATATTTTCGTAAATATTTCTAGTTTTTGCTTTTTCATAAGTAGACTAGTTTCATACTAGTGCAAAAAAACACTACTCCAGTTTTGAATATAACTTCTGAGAGTATTAAAAGTATAACAATATATTAAATTAAAGGGGAAAAAAAACAATAATTTAGCAGTAACCTTTTCTGAACCAGCCTCAAACTAGTTTCAAATGGCCAAAAAAATCTACTTTTTTAAAGAAACTGAAAATATAACTTCTTAATGGGTACCAGTTTCATATTTTTTGGACTTGTGCGACTTCAGTGAGAAAAAGAAACTAATTTTGAAATATTTTGCCAAACTTAATATTTTACTTCGAAATACATATTACGCATACTCAAAAGAAATGGTGTTGTACTACTGCATATATGCATATGCAGTATGTACATTTGTAAGTAAAAGCAATATTTCATAGCCCTAGCAATTCAATCGAAAACAACAGTAGTAAAACTCGACACACCAAATAGTAGTAGTTACCCTCAAGCGACAGAACAATTTCATAGTTCAAACAAAGCACATAAAGCATTACTCACACACACACACACACACACGTCGCGTAACAACCGTTGCATTGCTAGAAATGTTACAAGTTTGTTGTGGCCAAAACTCACGCGAAAAATTGCCGTACGAATATTATCAAAAAAAAAAAAAAAATCCTAAAAAAAGGAAACAAATGAAGAATAATAAAAAGTGTGCAGCATGAAGAATTGATAGAATTAATGTTGCCATACAATGGAAAAAATGAAGAAAAAACGTGTAACGGAAAAAATTTCCAGCACCAGCATGTGCGGCACCACGGAAGAGTGTGAAAACTAAAAACATGATTTATGATGATAACCGACGCGGTTGCTTGCCACCATCAGCGTCAGCGTCACCGCCAACACCAACACCAACGCCATTTCTATCAACACATACCCAGCAAACAGTGCGAAACGTGCAATTTTCCATTTTCACACCAATTTTTCTGCAGCCGCATTGCATATGAAAGTACCGTTGTGGCAGTCTGCCTACATATGGCAAGACATTGCAGCTGTGAGTTAGCACATTTGCATACAGGGTGGCAATGGTTGTAGAAGGGGAAGATATTTTAAGGCTACAACTTTTTATATATATTTTTTTTATTTAAGCTCTTTTTCCTTTAGCGCTTGCCTTATACCACCCTTGTATTTTATTTCGTTCTCATTATTGTCTCTTTCTTAAACCCTCTCTTTTTACTGAGTAAATCTTCTCTCCTCTTTCTTTGGTTCTCATTTGTTTTCTTTTGCTTTTCATTCTTGTTTGCTTTTCATTCTCTTGTACAAAACTATTTGGATATTTACCAATATAAGATACTCTTTCCTCATCTCCTCCTTATCGTCTTTTATTTACTTCTTTTCTGACCTTTTCTCTCTCTCTATTGTCTTCATATTTTAATTAGTATTTATTTTTCTCTATTTCCTCTCACTTTGTCATTAATATATTATACTTTATATTTATTTCTTTTTTATTATTATGTTTTATTAAGTTTTTTCTATTTTAATTCCTTTCTATCCTGTTCTTTTTTTCCACTTCAGCATAACTTCTATTTACATATATTTATACAGATTTCAAATCTCTTTACCACTCTCTGCTTATTTTTGGTCTACCTTAACCTTTTCTCGATTTTATCCATTAATCGACCTAATTTTTTCGTTCATTCATTCTCTCTCCACCTAATTCACTCAACGATTCTGTGTTCCTTATGTACGTAATACCTCTACGCCTTAGTAGAGTATCATTCCTATCAATGCTGTTTCTTCCAACGCAACACCCTGTAAGTGCATTCGCTCAGTTACATCCCACTCAGAGTAATATTTCCTTGTCTTTGTGTGAATAAATAAACTTTGTGCTGTTTCTATGATTTTTTTTTAGACTCCCTCTCTCTCTCTCTCTCTCAGCTGTCAGCAAAGTTAGGAAGTGAAGTTGCGGCAGCACACAATTCCGATTAACGGTTCAGGAAGCGCGTAATCTTTGCTGATAAACCAATCGTGAAAGGGTTAAATTCACCTGAATCACTCTTACGATGACTTATGTTGGCCACAAAGTGAAATTGTTTGCCCATAACTACCAAGTGTGCTTCAGGATGCTTGAGCTTGGTTCGGAATTGAAGTTTTCGAAATTTTTGCTTCGATGACCACTTGGCGTGGAATTTTTTTTATTGATGATATTTGTGATATTTTGATGGCTCACTGACTCCAAAAGAGCTAAATAAACGAAGTTAGATAAGAGATAACAGTTGGAAATAATTAGCTTTAAGCTGCAATTGGTATTCACACACATTCAATTAAGCTGAAGTAATTAGTCGGAAATAACGAATATTGTTTTTATTTTGCTTGCTTGTACAAAAAACATTTTCAAGAAAAGAAAGTGAATTAGTTGCGCTCCTTATCTGTTACACGAAATATTTTCAAAATAAAGGAATAAAAATAATAATAAAAATAATAATAAGCAAATTTTTGTGCAACCAAGTCATTGATATTTCTAACGAAATTCTCTCTTAGCATTAACAGTTCCTTTCGTCTTTACCACAGAGTGATATAAGAATATTCCAGCGTTTTTTGGACTGTTTGCACTAATTAATGGAGTTGCTAAAAATTTAATTTTGTTGCAATCAGTGAGAGAGTTGCTTATAATGCATCAATTAGCTGATTGAGTACCTATGTGAATGGTGTTTAAAGGTCTAATTGAGGTAATATAGCCTAGGAAACAATGTTGTTAACCAAATTTTATTAATATTGTATTTATTTAACAATAATTTTATAACAATTCTCTCTGTGCGACGTTTATTTGTAAGCAGAATTTTTTAATTTTTCCGTTTTTTTCTTGTTTTAGACTAAGTCCAAAACCATCATTTACTGGAATTAATACATACTTTATGGCTAATTATTTCTTTCAACAATAGTATTTAATATTTTTTTGAATTAGTGGCTTAACTTCTGCTTAATTTGTTAATAGAGTGCCTGTGTGAATTACTCTAAACTGCTTTGCCGACCGAGTATAGCTTAGGGAGTGAGGAGCTGGTCATAAACGCATGGCCTACAACCACTTATTATTTGCATTATTAGTAATAAATTTAATTATTTCCATTAATTAATAATTATATATTTTAAAGAATTCATTTGCAATTTCTTTTCTTTTCACTTTATTTATTTTCACCTGATTACCTACCTTTTACTGTATTTACATACTAATTGCCAGTTAATTGCTTGAGTTTTTTAAATTGTAAATAGCGTTTTGAAACGATAATCATGATTAGCACTCAATTAATAAATTATGCGTGTGTGTGAATAGCTTTTAGTAAAACTCCTTGGCTGATTTTAACCATGAAATTTTCATATGTACCCATATTTTTTATGACTTGATTTATGACATTAATTGAGAAATTTTATTTTTATATAGGTATTTATCCAGCCAACTCTATATCAAACCAATTAAGACATTAAAAAAAAATTTACTTACACTCTGACAGCTCCACCATTTGGCTCAGTGCCTTTAATGCAATTTAATTTGTATCATTGCCAGCGTGGCACTAAAAAGCCTACTTTTTCTGAATTTTAATTCCCTTTCTTATAATAATCCGCTATTCCATTTAATCCATTTTAGTAGAGAATATTTCTCATATACTCGTCTGTATAGTGATAGTGTAGTGACATTATTTCTTATAATTGTGTTGCAACATAATTGCATTCTTTCAGCCCGTCAAGAGCCAAACGATATCGCCACACCGACTTCTAACCCCCAGCAAATGACCCAAGCGTGCCAACTACCACATCAGCAGTGCATACCTTGTACAATAGTTGTATATATGTAAAGTTCACGCTCGTATTTCAAGCTAGAAATATTGCATAACTTTTTATTTTATCTTTTTTTTCTGTTGAAATTTTTTTAATGTTTTCACTCTCTTTTCTACTTGGCATATTTCTCATCATAGTATCCAACTAAGTGAAAAATTGTTGGTAATAAAGTCAGCCAGTGGCGGCAGTGACGGTGACTCTGAAATCATGGGAAAAATGGCAACAATGCACAACAGCTATTCTATTCTTAGCACAAATTTTCTGCTAATTCACTCTTGCAATCACACTCACTATTGACTTTGTACTGCACGCGCTCTTTTCTCACCTTTTGACTTCATTCTCTCCCTCTTTTGCGGCCATTCCGTTTGCTGTGAGTAATCATCATCAAACTCACAACATCCGTTTGCAATTAGTCAATAATTTTTAATTGCTTGGAAAATGTTGGAATTAGTAAAATTCCATATCGTACAGTGGACGAGACGGTAAGGATGCAAAGCAGAGAGTGAATGTAGTTCAATAGAATATACTCACAGTTATGTGGTGGTGTGAGCGTAGTGAGAGTACAGCAGGAAGCAACGGAAATTGTCTACTATCATGCAATGCAATTTATCTCATGACATGAATGCAGACGGTTTTTGTAGAAACTTACTTATTTTCTATCAGTTCTTTTTTTCTCTATCGCAACACTTTTTATCACATTGAGTTTATCAAGTGTCGTAGATGCCTGCTTGGTAGGGAGAAAGAAGATGCGGCACGGTGAGATGCAGAGAAAGCGAGTGAGATAGCAAGTTGTGGAGGGAGAGCTTTAGAAATTAATGGCATTGGCTTCGGAAAATGCTGCTAGATTTACAAAAAAGAAATGAAACAAAAATAATTTAAAAAACAACTTTATACATATATATACTAGTAGATATATACATATATATTATGTTTGTCACATATTGCAATATACTGCCATATGTATGTATGTTTACATATTTTTTTGCCGTTTTGTCTTTTATTTACATTTTTTTCAATGGTAATTAATTTAATTTCTTCGTTTTTGCATTTCTTTTCACTTTTTCCAGCTGGAATTGTTGTCAACACCCATTGTGTCGCCATCATTGTCACGCAGGCGTTTTCAATACAACAGTCGCCATTGTCACGCTGTGCGAAAAGTGTCCTTCGAAAATACTAACATACCAACATAGAAACTCGTGCAATTTTTTATGTTGATTGCGTTTATTTTATTCTGCCGAAAAATTGCTTGTAATTCGCTGCTTTAATTTAAAGGTGAGTTAGTTTCGAGAATTTTTTTTTAAATATTAAATTATGCAATAGAAAACTTTTTGAGAGAAAAGATTTTGTAAAAACTTTAAGTAGAAACAGAACGCTAAATTTATTAGTTAATAAATAATTAAAATTAATTTAGCAATCTTATATATAAAAATCTTATGTTCGTTTGTAAAAACCAATTGATTTGAAATTCGTAAAATTTTTTCTATCATTCCCCGGGGAAATTTATAAAAAAAAAGTTGGGAATCTTTCGCTTTAAAAGAAATTTGGTACATCGGTGGCTTTGTGTGAGAAAATCGTACTTCTTCTTTTTTCTTGCAGTTATTTTCCTTGAAGTGGATCGATCTATTTGAAAAGAATATACCTACTCATTGCTTACTTTAATTAAATTTGTAGATATGACTAAATGCCAGAAATCTGGAACCAAGTGCGATTTCCTCGACATAATAAAAATTCGAATGATTTGCATTTAAGCATTGATCATCTGTGGAGGTATTCGCTTTGCAGTTTCATTACTTTGGAGCCGCGATTTAAACTTGAGTGTGAATAAGTCTTAGTTCGCAGCATTCGGATTGATGACTTTGAACAGTGGTGAAGTGACCCACACACACAAATAAGTAGATAAATCAATACGTTAATATACATAGATCCAACGATCGTTTATAAAGATCCAAAGATCTCGAAAAGCTACAAGCCGACTGACATTTTTGTACAACTACAACATCAGTTGTCATCAACAACAGCGTACGAGATAAGTACTTGCCTGCTTGGAGTCTTTCCAAATGATGAAAGCAAATAAAAGGATCATGAATGGCTCGTTTTACGATCTCGCTCCAACAAACTAAGATGTCTTCGCTCTCAACCGCACTACTCAATTCAAAACTGGAATTGATTTCTTCACTTATAAGTCGGTGTCTATTTTTGTGGAAAGAGATGAGGTAGATATCCTTTTTCTTCTTCTTCCTCTCCTTCTTTTTCTTCTTCTTCTTTATTGGCCTTCGCACCGCCGGGTATAGGTGAATCAATCATAGCGCACCATTCATATCTTCTTTTCGCTGCCTGGCGCCAGTTGGAAATACCAAGTGAGGCCGGGTCACTCTCCACCTATTCCTTTCAAGGAAGTGAGGTATTCCTCTTTCTCTGCTTCCATCAGCGGATGCTGCATCGAATAATTTTAAATCTGTAGTACTTTCATTCTTTTGGACGTCAGAACCTAGCCAGCGTAATCGCTGTCTCTTCATTCGATGAACTATGTCAAAATCAACCTATAGCTAGTCGTTCCGCCCGTCTGCGGTATTCGCCGTTATCAATCCGCAAAGGACCATAAATAGTTCATAAGACTTTCCTCTCGAAGACTCCTAACGCCGACTCATGAGATGTTGACATCGTCTACGCTTCTGCGCCATCCGTCCTACTAGAGCATGATGAGCGACTTGTAGAGTTTGGTTTTCGTTCGTCGGGAGAGGACTTAACTTTTTAATTGCTTATTCAGCCCAAAGTAGCATCGCTGGTAAGAGCGATTTTGCGCTAGTTTTCAAGGCTGACGTTATTATTGGTGTTAATGGTGACTGCGCTTTTAGTGCTGGAAATAGCCATCGCCCGTGTTAATTTTGATAGTTGGTATGCCTACCACAATGCTACGTAATTTTATTAAGCAGAAACGGTGCAATTCCCGGATTCCTACAATTCCGTTCGATACTGCGACCGGCATTTTTCATCATTATCTACAAGTCTCAAGGTCAATCTTAAAATTTTTGGGTGGACTAACACAAATTTATGTTGAAAGCTCTTGCAGCTCATTGGGCGGCTAAAATCCACGTCAACGAAAGCGATCGAAAATGTGCTGAAAGATTTACCTCAACCGAGTGGGCCATCAATGTCTTCAACTCGTTAGAGTGAAGTGGATTTTGACTAAGCCCGACTGTGTCTCTCAAAAATTTGTAAACCATTTTAGGGAAAAAATTTGGCTTTGAAATGCATGCAGTATCGAAAAACCTGAATTTCCTTCCAAAACTCATTTGTTAAAAAATCGCTAAAGTCATGCTAGAGCGAGTCAATCCTGACCATGCATTCATTGCTGATCATTTCAGTGGTTGACAACATTTTACCCTTTGATTTGGCTCATTGTTTTTCTCTGTTGATTTCATTTATGCTTTGGCAAACATTTCGCTGGATTAAGGGAGATTATTATGCGCACCCATCGCTATAATGGTGACCACCAAGGAGAATTTCGCATCTCAATGGGCTGAAGGGCAGGAACTTACAAAAGTAATGCTCCACTTCTTCATCATTTTCTGTGCTAGCTTCTATTCCGCTTCTATACAGCCTGTAGGTATAGGAAAATGATTATGTCTTTTGCTTAGTGCTAGCATGAGTCCGTCAAGTGCTTTTGCCATCTCCGCTGCCCCACCACTTGTTTAGTAACACGTTCTAAAGCGTTGCCGTCAAAGAATGTGTTTGGGTGTAAAAAGCGGTTAGAAAAAGTAGATGAAAAAGTGAAAAAAATGTCCTTAAAAGCTTTCAGTTGCATATCCATACACTCTGGTAAATAAACATTAATATACAAAGCAGTCGCATAAGTGTGTACGTAAGTATATTTGCTAAATGAAGTATGAAGTCGCAAAAATAAATTTAAAAAAAAATATAAAAGGAAATTAAAAGCGCATTCGTATAGAAATTTATGATGAACATAAGTCAGAAGGTCTTATTGTTTTTTGTAATGCGTTTTTATTTTTCACTCCTAATTTTAATATTGTACATTAAACCTTTTTTAATAATTAAATACAACTCCACAATGAAACGACAGATTTTACATTAATCAAGATATTCTATCGAATTGATTGAAATATTTGGAAATGTTAGTATTAGCAGTTATCAAAATTAATCTTATTCCATTACTACCCGAGATGAAATGCTATCGCAATGTTGCAGCGTTAACAGGTAATGCTACAGCGTTAACAGATAATGTTAAATCGTTAAACGTTGAAATTGCAGTGGACTGTTAATCCAATAGTAAGCAGCCGTATTAAAATTAACGCTTACGATGAGTTTGTGTGGTTTTGACATTAAAAATTCATTTTTTTTTTCATATTGATAAATTTCTATTTCGTTGGTAATGTGTTTAGTTGAGCATCCCTGATTTCATATTTTATTTATTTGAAAAGCTAATATTACAATAAAAATCTTTAATTTAGCTATAACAAGAATAGGCCTTAGGCTGACCTCTGATGTGATTTAATCCGATTCAACAGCTGTTTTTGTTTGGAGAAATATTATCTAGTTAGGAACTTTTTCAATTCGACTTTGTAATATTTCAAAAATAAGTGAGCGCCATTTCGTAAGATATGAAAACTGCTTATTAAAATTTCCTTAACTGATTTGAGGTCTAACCTTGACAGTCAACGAATAGTAGAGAGTAATTTTCAATCATTAACAAAATCGCCTGTTTCGAAGTTATTTGAAGACAACTTTCAACAAAACTTGCTTCGATTCGCTCGCCTCTGACTATAACAGTTACAAACATAAGTTCTTTTTTCACAGTAAATATAATCTGTTCCGCCCTAAATAAGAGTTTCGCATCAGACAGCGTGTGCCGTTGCATTTAAAGCACTAAAAAAATTATCAAATTACATAGGAAAGTCGAAAAAATTTAAAAAAAAATTATAGGCTAAATATATTTTCATACTTTTCTGCATAAGCACACATGTTCATATCTAAATAAAAAAGAACGTGCAGCGTACAATTACATATGCCGTATGTTTTCAAGAAAAAAAAACACGCCAACAACTACAGCCTACGTGCGCTTAATGTATGGAATTTTGTCGTATTACAGGCGGCAAAAGCTATAGAATATGAAAATGCAAAATTTTTGAAGAGCCAAAAATATACAAAAAAAGAGAAACTCTCCCTATATGGTAGTCTAAAATTAGGCGCAGCGACGTGCGCGTTGCAAAATTTATTTTCAGCGTAGTAGCCAGTTATATAAGCCGCTTTGTGAATATAAAATTAGCTGGTATATGCTCACAAAATTGCATAGAATTCTACGCAGCGTTTCAACATAAAAGCCACATAAATTGTAAAAATTTTTACAACGGTAAATAGCCGAAAAAATTATATTTTCGCAGAGCCGCATGAATAAGCGCAATTTAAAATATATGCAACGGTAATTTAGTAGGAGGAGCGTGACGGTAAAAAAATATTTAAACCAAATCTGGTCATATATTTGAACATATATATAAATTAATTTATCTAAGCAACCATGTATATATGCACACAAAAATAACAAAAAAAAAAGAAAACAAAAAAAATAATACAAAACCATAAAAAGATAAAATAAAATATATAAAAAGATTTAAGTTAGAAACATAGAGGAAAAAAAAGCAAACATAAAATTAAATTAGTTACAAAATAAAAAATAAATAAAATAAAATAAAACAAAGTTAAATAAATTAAAACTAACTTAAATAAAATAAAATAAAATAAAATAAAATAAAATAAAATAAAATAAAATAAAATAAAATAAAATAAAATAAAATAAAATAAAATAAAATAAACTAAGATAAAATTCAACAAAAAAGAACATTAATAATTTAGACTGATTAAAACTAAGTTAACGGAAATTGACATAAAATAGATTTAATAAAATAAAATAATAAAATAAGTAAAAAATATAATAAAATAAACAAAAACTATAAATAATGGAAAAATATAAATTAAAATACAAAAAAAAACACAGAAATCGAAACACCTCACCTCTTCGTCGGTTTGAAAGCAGCCTTCGACAGCATGAAAACGACCTTCCTCTGACGCTAGACAACAACGGAAGCACAATCGGGATTTCTTCAATTTGATGCTAGAGATAAAAATAAGAGCCGCAGAGCTGAATAAAAAAGGAACAATATTTTACAAGAGTATACAGCTGCTGCGATATTGACATTATCGGCTCCAACAATCGCGCCGTTAGTTCTGTATTCTTCAGACTTGATAAATAAGCAAAG